TACCAGAAAGGTATGTGTGCACTTTTGAAACTTTTAAAATTGAAAGAGGAATATTTCACACAAATATGAATTTGTCATTATTTACTTAACCTCATGATGTTCAACCTGATTAAGGTTTTTTTTTTTTGTTCAGTTAAATACAAAAGTATAATTTTTTTAATGAATCAATACCCAGCCCTGGCTATACAACAATAGTTCCCAGTGACCATGTATGTCAAGCCCCAAAAGAAACACAAAAAAGACCATAAATGCACCATAAAAGTGCTCCAGACATTATTCTGAAGCCATATGAATGAAAAACAGGCCTAAATGTGTTAATTTAATTATTAGTAATAATAAAAAATATATATACAGTATATAATCTTCCTCAAAGCTTACATTTTCCCCATTGTTTATTTATTTATTATTATTATTATTATTTTTTTTTTTTTTACAATTTTGACACTTTGTAAATAATGCTAAAATGACATTGGTTCATTTGTGTCTTGTTACTAATGGTGCTTTTCCACTACATGGTACGGAACGGTATAGTTCACTGTTGGGGGGTTTTCCACTGGGTACAGTACCTGGTACTTTTTTCAGTACCACCTTGGTTAATGTTCCAAGCAAACCGTACCGTTACTAAAACGTGATGTGTAAACTTTGCTGATCACTGATTGGCTGGAGTGAATCGTCACTACCTCTTCACTGAACTTGCGACACGAGACACAACAGACCCATTAGACTTAAATCAGGATCGAACGCAACTGTTTTGAACGAGCGCACCTTTTTTTAACAACCAAAAAATGACTGTTTCGTTGTCTGTTGAAGAAGTACAGACGTTTCCTCTCATTGATAGCCGAGGAGCGGATCCAGAGAGAGCTAGATGGGGCGACTCGGAATGAAAAAGTTTTTCAGGAGTCGCAGCAGTAGAGGCGACGCAACTATAACGACATGTGAATAATCCCACCCACTCTAAAGCGGTACTAAACTGCAGTGGAAATCACCTTTCTGAAACGCGTTGATTTTTACAAAGCTCATCGTTCTAAAAAAAGCGAGGTGTGCCCTGATTGGCCAGCTATCCAGTGCGTTGTGATTGGCCGAATGCTTCAAGTGTGTGACGGAAATGTTACGCCCCGTAGCATACTGTGATGCCATCTCCCAGCAGGACGAGACAAAACTAGTGGTCGACCGATATATCGCCAAGGCCAATTGTGCGAATTGAATGTGGACAGGAGGAGAGTTCAGCTTCACTGGAGACGCGCGATCGACAAACTTTAAACTGCGCTTCATGCATTTGCCCACTGTCATATTCATGTTATTTTCACTGTGTGCTGTATGTAAAATGAGTGTTACCTTGGCTTTATTTGAAAAAAATATGATTAATGCATGCAAACTTCCCAGAATGTGACCTGTTGGTTACAGTGTTTACTTCCTTTTTAATTATATTTTTATTAAATATTTATTTGTGAAAAATACTTTGTCATCTAAAGTATAAGTATGTTTATTTAACACATTTTTTTAAATCAATTTTCAAATGATTTCAAATTTCTTAAATATTAATTAAAAATTAAAATTAAATAAAATTATATCGGCCATCGGCCACCCTTGCTTTCCAAGATATCGGCATCGGCTGTCAAAAAAAACAATATCGGTCGACCACTAGACAAAACCAATAAAACCCATTACAAATGAGGCGTTTGTTGCATCCAGTGGGGACATAATTACTGATTATAATGACTTATACTGTCTTTTTACGCGTTGCGCTGCGTAAACATAAAATCATGTCTGCATTTGTGATCGGAGAAACAACAAACAACAAGCCTACTCTACACTGCTCAAAACTCGCCGTTTGAATCGTCAGTGGCAAATTATTTAAATATAAAAAACTTACTTACAGGCTGTGAGTCAGAAGCGCCAGACTATCCTTGCAAATTTGGAACTGCCCAACTTTATAGAAACCTTTGTGCCACAGACGCATTGTAGGCTACTGGTTCAAGAAACAGTCCTCATCCTCCATAAAATATGCAGCACACATCTAAATATTTGGGTTGAAATGTTCTGGAACAGTGTTGTAAATACAACTTAACCACTGATTTCTAGTTGTGTTCTCTTTTGGAAGGCCAAACAAAGTAGTTTCACTTTCACAACGAAACACACAGCGACTCCACAACATTTGTGTCAACTTTGCGTGAACATTTGGGCGGCGTTATGCAAATCTTCCCACATCGTGATGTAGACATGTGGGGGCGTGTTAAAACGAGCCGTTTTAGGTAGGAGTGGTTGACTCTTAACTTTTATAAATAATATCTATTTGGAAATCGCATCATATGTAGTTGTCGACCGATATATATATTTGGCATTTTTCAAATATCGGCATCGGCCGATTAGTTTTTCTGTTTGGCCGATGTGTTCGACTTTTATTTTGATGGCACTGACAGCGGCAGCACCTGAGCACATAGTGCTCACATTCTCCCTCTTGTTCACTGTCGTCGTTAACAGTTCTGTCTAATACGGACAGAAATCTGTCTAATAATCAGATAGAACGGTTAAACAAACAAGTTTTAGGTAGGCGTGCACATCGTGGCCTCCTGCAGGGTTTGGAGTGAAAGTGGGAATATTTCTGGCCAGCTTATCCAATTCTTTAAGTGACACACCATCACTGGAAGACAGCCTTTGGAAAGGCTCCCACCCCCTTGCTGCTGAGGGTTCTGGGATGCTGGCAGGTGATGTCCTGAGCAGTGGGCTCTCACCCCCCTTTCAAACTGGGAATTCTTGACTAGGAGGTATCAGCCTGCTGGTTAGGGGAAATTCTGTGTTGTGCATTTCCCTTTGCAGTCTATATGCATGTTTAAGCTAGGGCTGTCACGATTATGAAATTTGGCTGATGATTAATTGTCTAAAAATAGTCACGGTTATTGTGATTAATTGTCTGTTTTAGGGCTTTGGCGATTATGCCGATTATCACGATTAATTGTCTGTTTTTATGGCTTTCATTATATAATTGATTAATTTAAGGGTTCAGTAAATAATTATGATGTTATCTTTTAATCTTTTTGAGTTATTATCTTGCAGTGTAAGATTACATAGAGTATTCCAAATTCTAAGAATTGGCCAATACCGATCCAATACTAGCGCTACTTTTTTTCTACACCACTACAGAATATCAATACTGCGTTTGTGGAACTAATGGTCACTCTTTTAAACCCTTTGTTAAACACAATCCACTAAATACTCACTTTCTCATTACAGAGAAAAACTAAATTTAAATAAAAATATATAAGCTATGAAATTAAATTAGCTGACTGTATAATTTAGCAGCAAAAACAATATCTTGAAAAAAAAAATCTTTGGTGCACATTATACAATTTAAACATGTTTATTCTGTTAACTATTTGTATTCTTACAAAATACATTCATGAATATAAGATAGAAATCATGAGAAAAAGAAAGGCTTCTAATAATCTTTCTGTTTGTGATAATTCCTTCCTTCCTTAAACTTAAAGTATTATAATGGGAAGATATCATCTTGGAGAGAGAGTTTTACCGTGCTGACTGTCATAA